AGCAGGTCATAATTTAAGGTCTATCTAATGTGAGCCACCAAATGCAGAGACACAAAAATTCTTTGAGTTATTACATTCAGCTCAAAAGCCAATTTGGTAAGGTTGCAGTACACATTCAGAATTATCCATTGCAGTGAGGATGCTAAGTATTAAGACTGAGTATAATATTCCCCGTGAGTGTTTTAATGACGTTATTGGTCTTATGAAGGAAACTAATCCAGCTGACAACTTAATTCCCTCAGACTTGTACCGAACAAAGAAATTAGTATCCAAGCTGGGTCTCACTGCTACAAAGATTGATTGTTGTATCAATGGATGTATGTTATACTATAAGGATGATGCAGCAAAAGTTATTTGTCGCACCTGCAATGCTCCTCGGTTTAAGCCAAACTCGGGAAAACAACGTCGTCCAAAGAAAAATGTGCCATATTCCCGTTTGCCACATTTTGAGGAGAAATTATTCTGCTTACATTGAACGTCGTTCAGAGATTAATCAGAATGCGCTACGTGACCCTACGTCACATCCTGCCAGGTATCCAGTTTTGTACTGCTCGATAATGCGGCTTGGTACTTGGCTCGGTATTACTGACATGGCGCATTCTGGTTGGTCTTCGGATGGTAAACTGCATTTGGCATCTGCACAGAATAATTTCTCCATTTGGAGGTGCCTGTGTTGATGCGTTTGGCCGCCGGAAACTACAATACCGGACGGCCAATGCTAAGCCGCCGGTAATGTCATTACACCGCCGGTATTAAACTGGCGGTTACCGACGGCCGCTGGCGGTGTTACGGTGGACGTCCGGCAGTGTACATCGTCGGTAATACCGACGGCTACAACCGCCGGGTACTGCCGGTAATTTAACCAGCAGTCTACCGACGCTTGCCGGCGGTTTAGCGAACACGCGACGCCCGCTTTAACCGCCAGACGACCGTCTGTAATATGATCGCCGGTTAGCCGTCGGTCAACTAACTGGCGGCGTAACGACCGGAAAACTGCCACTTGAAAATTCGGTTGTCACCGGCGGTATGAGCTGCCCGAAAACCGCCGCCTAAATAAACCGCCAGTAATAATTTCCTACGCAATTTTTACCGGCGGCTTGAATGCCGCCGCCAAGCCACCGGTAAACAGGAAAACCGCCGGTTTAGCCATAGTAACCGCCGGAAAAAACTGCTGGTTTTTGACGTTTTTCCTGTAGTGTTATGTCAGCTTGTTTGAAAGTTGCAGATCCGGTGGTGTGGCACTGCGCTATGGGTTGTCTATTGCTTATTGTAGGTAGGCTTTCATACAATACTAAACTGTTGTTGGCAAGTGGTGATAATTTGAAAGATACACGAGCTTCCTTAAAGAGCCAATGAATGCCTTCTGTTCGCTTATATGCATGTTGCGGTTCGATGGTGTAATTTAATAATGCGTTGATTTTCATTTGTTGCGCATCGACAGTGCTATTTTGCTCATTTTGTCTTATGTAAGCTATCATTTTCTTCAATATTCAGCATGGAGGAGTATATTTCTATCGCCAGATACGCAGTGCAGTGCATCAGGGGCCTCCTACTTGTCACTTGCAAATAAGCTAACATATGGTGTGATAGTCTGGCTCTACAAGTTTACTACCTCAATTTATCAGTGGCTCGCAGTTTTTACTATTGATTCACTGCTTCTTCTTACATGTAAATCATAACATTGTGTTGCTAATTATTTGCTATTTTATGGAGATAAACTATCACGCGATGCAAGCTTTGTTTAACACCACTTATAGTCTAGCGCTAGGTATTCAAGAGTCACCAGCTATTCCATATAGATGAACTGTTAAGCCAAATCTTTCAATATTGCTTGTAGGTGAGTCGCAGTGTTGCGCTACGAGTTGCCCGTTGCTTCTTACAGATGAGCTATCGTGCTATGATGAATCTCTTATAGTAGCTCATAGGTGCTCACATTTATCACAATTCTTTTTGTATTTGCTTGTAGATAACACATTGTATACATGACGGGTCTTCTGCAACAGCTCGTAGGTACATGTATTTGCTGCATATCAACCACCTTTGCTTGCAGGGGATCAATGTGTTTGCTTGACATTGAATGGTTGTTGATTGTAAGGGTGTCGTAGCATTCACTGCTTATTGCTGAACTCTGATTTCTAAAGCTTTAATTTTAGAAAACAGGGGGACAACTGATATATTATCGAAAAATAATCTTGATTGGGCACGAATCTCGAGGCAAAATCAAGTTGGAAAATTTTGAAATTAAATCTGGGATAATCTGAACTCTGATTTTTAGCAAAATTATAGTCAAATCGAATGTCTCTAAAAGATGAACCCAACGACAATAAATTCGACTGAGTCTGAACCCAAATGGGACCAAATCGAAGATCTGAAGCTCATTTGAAAGGTTCAAACTATAAATTGGATGACCAAATGGTTTTCAAATGTGACATGCTTATGTTCGAATTGAGCTGCTCAATGAGACAAATCCAACGAGCCTAAGATCATTGTATTCTGATATCATTAAGGCACTCAAATACTCTATAAATAGCCCATGATCAAAGGAGTCGATATCAACCATCTATTCAAAACACTCCCAACATGCCCTTGATATCCTCCCTATTTTCTGGCCATGCTAATATAAGAAAATTATAATTAGACCCCTCATTCCTCATGTTGAGGGAGAGGAAGTAGGGATGAAAGTAAGGAAGAAAAAGAAAAGAGAGAGAAATTAGAGTTCTCTTACCACTAGACTCCTCCTCAACCTCCATCGAACCACCAAGCGTCATTGAACTATCTTCAGACTTTCATCCGACCACAGACGAATGCCAGACTTCCGTTCGACAACTGATTATCATCGGACTTCCACCCTTCCATACATTATTGCCAGATTTACACTCGGCCACCAACTTAAACTGGATTAATTTATGCCCAGCCACAGACTGTTGTTGGTTCCTCCAACCTCCGTTGCCAGACAACAGTCTTTCTGACCACTATCACCCATCGACTACAGTCTTTCCGACTTCCGTCGCCCATCGACTATAGTCCCTATGACCTTCATTGCCAGACTAAGGTCCTTCCAACCTCCATCGCCAGACTATGATCCTCCTTACCTCTTTTGCCAGACAACAGTCTTTTCGACCTTCGTCGCCTGTCGACTACAACCCTTCCGACATCCATCGCCAGACAACAGTCCTACCAACCTTTTTCACAAGAGTACAGTCTTTTCGACTTTCGTCGCCCGTCGACTATGGTCCTTCCAACCTCCATCGCCAGATAATAATCCTTCCGACCTTCGTCTCTCGCAGACAATTGTCCTTTCAACCACCGTCGCATGAATACGATCTTTTTGACCTTTGTCGGTCGCCAAGTATGGTCCTACCGACTAAACGAACATGCCAATACTGATTCTTCCAATTCTCATCATGTAATGCATTTTTTATGATGTAGATACATCAAACGAATGTCTTCCCTCAAGGAAGGGCCTCATTTGTAATCGACTGGAAACACTAGTGGATTCATTCAAACTGAGTCAGACCCCGTGGTTTTCCCCTCTTTCAGGGGTTTCCACGTAAAAAAACTTTGGTGTCTCTTATGAACACTATACCCTTTTTTATCTGATTATGTGTTCGATATTTGTACAAATCTAAGACTTAACTTTATTTTTCTCTACCACCGCAAATATTCTATGACTTTCTGTATCACTGTGAACGTTCTAGGACGCAACACAAACAACGATCAATCGTGATCTTACTTGATTACATTACTTAAAGTGTCACAAACAAAAACATTTGAGTTAGTTTCTCTTAATGATCATTCATACACATATCAGACTTTGTTTGGAGCAGTTTTCTTATTGCTTCATAAAACAACTTTTTAGTACAAAAATTTAGTTCAAGAAATTTCTACTCTAAAAAGCTGCTTTAAAAAATAATAAAAAATTCTCAAATAAAGTCTTAGTATCTTAACAGAAATCAATGAAAGCTTAGGTAATTCATGATGATGCTGTTTGACTTGTTCTTTCATTGATGAAGAGGTGACAGCACATACGGCAAAAGAGAATGCAATGCTGAACAGATAAAATAGATCCGATGAAGGGCTGTGCAGTTCTGAACGCTAACCAGCACGCATATTTTGTGCATATCAGCAGTTGATTGATTAACTAAAGCGTTTTGTACTTATTATTCTCTGCAAAGTGCCGAATCCATAACGTTGCAGATGCTATTCCGGAAAAAAGCATGAAGAATGTTTCAGAGCTGATGTGCAAATGCATGATGAAATGAAGAATAGGATGCTCTTTATTTTAAATCCATGAAGCTTGTTTTAGAACATATAATAACGTTAAATAAATCCATGAAAGCTTGTTTTGAACCAAACTTTTAATATATTTGAATGTACATGTAGTTTTTTTTAATTCTCTTGTATTTTTGGAAGAATAACAAGAATAAAATTTCTATCTTGGTACCTACTAATAGGAATTTCTTGATATATCTCTCCCAATTAAGGAGGTTAGTAGTAGCTTTTCATTGTTGAGTTCATGCTAGAAAGAGGTGACAAAGATATAAAGTGAATATACTATTCTTATGTCTCCCATTTAGGGAAAAATTTCTGTGCGGACACCGGACGCCGTCTGGAGGCCAACCAGAACGTGCCATGTCATGTTTTTGCTCGATACCGGTGCTGGGAACTGCTGTGTACCGGGTGATGTCGCACGTTCTGATTGACCTCCGGACAGTTCGGTGTCCGCAAATAATAATTATCCCTATTCAGATACCATTTGTTGAGACCGTCCATGTCATTGATACTCATTTCATGCAATATTTAAACATGAGAAGTTGTCTAAGGTTAATATTATCCTCAAAGATAAACTTCAACTTCAAAATCTCATGTTGATGATGATATGAATCCTCACATTAATGATTTTGAAGCATTGAAGAACATGGCACTTGATTTGCAACTTGATAAGTCAAAGCAAACTGAATGTATTGAGCTACAACTTTTGGAGAATATGAGAAAATTCACCTAAGTGACCTGATAGAGAGATATGAATTACTCGCTAATCGCTTTGATGCTCTGGTTTCTCTTGAGACATATCTCTATATATTTACTTAATCCAAAACACATCCTCTTAAAATTTTACTGTATTGAGAATATCACCACAACTATTTTGAAACAATATATGTTAGTTAAATGTTATGCTATGAACTTTCCAAAATGGTCTACAAACTTTGATATTTTGTAATGAATCCTCCATTATTCTTGTGTGGATTGCATTCTCACATTTGAGAGCTTAACCCTCCCTAAAGTAGCTTCCCCAAATCAATTAGATATCATTCCACTTATTTAAATAAATTTTCTGTCTCATAGATTTTTGATCTATCTATTATCTATGCTTGAATCATTAAGTAAAATAATGAATGCTTGAATCAATTGTCCTCATATATGAATGCTAATATAAATCAATCTACCAAACCCTTTCTTCTTATTTAGGCTTTTGAAATATTAAATACCATCAATTCTTCTATATATTCTAAAATGAAGAGCAACTCCTAATTAAAAACATAATTATAACATCAATGATGCCTCAAAAATCTTACTAAGTACCCTATAATCCTTCAACTGCCCCAATAATGCAATAGGATTAAAGGGCTCTTAAAGATAAAAAAATAAAAAGATAAGGTCACAAACATAAACTTCTGCCATTATAAATTTGAATTAGAGTATCTTATGACTGCCCTTAGGGAAGAGATTGCCTCCAAGTTCATGAGGAATCCACAAATAGTTCAAAAGGCACAAAAAATCCTTATTAAAAAAAAAAAAAACAAAAAAACTATACATCCTACCATCAACTAAGATCTTCCCAATGTATAAAAGCTTATTTGCCTGCTTGATAAAAATAAACAAGTCTCAAGTTTGATTTAAGGTAACAAAAATAGTAAACTAAAAGATATAAGCCATAAGTGCAAAGTGGAGAATGAAAATCGAAAAAAAAAATCCTCCTTAAATGAACAATATCAACTCTCTTTCTCATTTCCCAAGCATAAAATCCCCTTTGTTTCTTCATCTTTCTTATCTAATTCTCTCTCAAGTTAAATCATCTTAAAAAAATAATAATAGAGGCAAATAAATTTAGATAATCATTCCAATAATAATCTAACATTGGATTCAAAGAAGTGCATACACTTGCTTAAACTTACCTAACTTAATGCTATAGTTTCAACTAACAAGTGAAAATCAAAAGTTTAGCAGCAATTTAATATTATAAAATTATAATTCCATCCCTTATGGATAGTTTATCATATATCACCAGTTTGGTGGAGCATAACATCAATTTCATCTCCATCTTTCATTCCTAACTCATTCGGTGTTTTTTCACCAGAAAGCCTATGGTCTTTAAAGAGAAAGGCAATAGTGCCAACTTCTATATAGTTGTGAGTACAATGGTATCCATAAGCTTCTTGAGTTGGGTGTTGCATTTGATCTTGTAAAATTGTGCATTCTCATCTTTACCCTTGATCGTAAAAATGACATATGGCATATGGTATGGCTTCTTGTCCCCATCTTGAACAGTGCTCGCCATTCTTCACCCAATTTAGTCGGCCTCTGACGATAGGTTCAATTTTTTAATTTCTTCTACTACCAAAATAAAGGGTTTTATAGATTCTTCTCAAATTATTTCTCTAGGGTTAGGAATAGATCTAAGGTTTATCTCCACAACCAATAAGATTGATTTGACCAAATGTTGTTCTTCATCTTATTTTGTATGTTTTTAAGAAGAAATATAACAATTGATTAAATGTTGAATATTTTTTTTGAATACATTTCTAAGAAGTTTTTGGTGCTACTAGTATTCACACAAAGATCGAATATTTAAGCTATTTATTGATAAAGTTACTCCTAGCAATTATTGTATACTGCAAACACTAATTATTCTATTTAATAACATGCCAAAAGTAGCATGGAGAATTATTTAGACATTGACAATGTGTCAAGTGTACCAAAGTACTATAGAGATGTTATTTATTGATGAAATTTATGTAGGAATGAGGCATTGGTTGACATTCCTTAATATACACCCCTATTAACCAAAAATTATGATTTACTATAAACATAAATTATCATATTTAATAACTCTTAGTATAGTGGTGACAATGATGGAGATATCGATAATATTGGGAAGAGTACCAGAGAGAATTATGGAGATGTTATTGATCACTGAAGGTGTTGCTTGACATTCCTTAACATATATCCCTATTAAATTCAATTCACAAATATACATATATGCGTGCACTCATGAAAACATACACATACACACACCAATGCAATCATCATCAAATATAAAGTTCAATAGCCAATAACATCTCTCCATAATTCTCTCTATCACTCTTGGCATGTTATCAAATTATAATAATTTGTGTTCACATCATTCCATACCTACAAGGAAGGACTAAATGTTATCAACATACAGCTTCCTTATTTGTCATATGTTCTCTGTACATGTAGCACAAAAAGCCTATTGAAAATTTATTCAAATAAAATAAAACTATATAAATCTAAAAATAAATAAATAAATAATATATGTGTGTTCGTGTCCATGCGTGCACATTTATTTGAGGAAAAAAATAATCATAAATCAAATAGGGGAAAGTTTTACTGCATTAAAAGCATTACACTGTGATTTACAATACAATTATTTTAACCAAACATAACCAACTTAAGCAATTAAATAACTTTGCATGGAGATCTTTATGCTATGTGAAATACTTTGTCATTGAGTACGATTTTTTATTCCATAAATGTCTTGCTAGTTTTGAGTGGAATTTGATTGTGTTAATTAATCAGGTTGTACTATTGACTCAGACCTCAATTTTGACAGTCAAGCTTAATGAGGAGTTTGATGATGAGTACTCATGTATTTTTTTAATGTTTTGGTGGCTTCCTAGTCTAGAAATTATTTTGGAATTTATATAATTATCTCAAATTAGGTTTTGGGATTTCTGTCCTGTTACTATCCGACATGTTGTGACATATTCTATTGGTGGGCTATATCGGATCAGGGTTGTGACAGAATGTACGTTATAAATTTTCTAAAATGTTCAAATGCATCATTTTGCTTTTGTAGAAATAATACTCAAGTGCATGTAGAGAAATCATCCACAATAACAAAATCATACAATTTTCCACCTTAACTAGTGGTGCTAATAGGCCTAAATAAAATTATATGATGTAACCGTAAAAGTATAGAGGTGGTGGACACAATATTTTATTCCACCCAGGAGTGATAAATCTAATTCCCAATTTTGAAAAAATAACATTATATTCATGCATGCTTAAATGATTACATATATAGCACGAAAGTTTTTATAATATTGGTAATAATTTCTTTTATATGCTACAATGAATCAAGTAGTAGTAAAAATTCTATTTTGATCACATATATTTAGCCAATTTTCATCATATTACTAAAAAAAATGTATTTTTAGATAATTTTCAGAATATTAGTAAAAATTGTAAACATTTGTTCTAATATAAGTTTATTGTAATCTATTAAAAATACATTATTTTTTTTGGTAAAAATACAAGTTATATTAAAATTTAAATACTAACAATGAAGTTTGAAGCTAGTCTTTAAGAAGAAAATATATCAAGCCAAAAGATAGAAGCCATAGAAATTCTAAGAAGAAGAAAAGTACTTATTCTTGCTTCTTCTATGAATAAGCTCATGATATATCTTTCCATCTCTTCTAACTGGCAATCTACTTTATTTCTTCTTAATCTATCTTATGTTGTTGACTTGTGCTACAATTTCTCTCTCAATTTATAAGCTCTTAAAAAAAAACATAAAGGAGGTAATTTAATTTAGATAATCATTCAGATAATTAGCTAACATTGGATTCAAAGAAGAGTACAACCATTTATAATATATTCAAATTCACGCCACATTTAAAATTATAAGTTCTATAAAAATTTGGTACTTTAAGGAGCTATTACCATGCCCTAAGCATAGTTTATCAGATTTCCACCAGTTTGGTGGAGCATAGCATCGATTTCATCTCCATCTTCCATTTTCAAACTTTCTGGTGTCTCTTCACCGCGAAGCCTACGACCATCATAGAGAAAGACAATAGCATTGACATTTTCAGACTGACGATTACAGTACGCATCCATGAGCCTCTTGAGATTGGTGGTACGCTTGATCGTGAATGTTTGTTCATTACCGTGTTGTCCCTTTACCTTTAAATTGATGTGTGGCTCCTCTACGATTGTCTCGAGCCTTTTTGGGGTCCCCTTCGTGACGAGCTTCTTTCCCTTATTCCGACTAGTGCTAGCCATTTTGCACTAGATGTTGCTTGCCTTTAATAAAAATATTTCAATAAAGTTTTTCTAAAGGAAAACAATAGTATATAGAATTGATG